TGCTTTTTTTTCTTTTTTTGTAAATTCTGTCGTCCTTACACTTGAAAAGAGCAAGGAAAAGAAAAAGAAAAAGTGAGAGAGAAAATTGTGGAGAGGGAAGAAAAGAAAGGAGATGGACTTGGTCTTTCCTTTTCAATGCCTTAAAGACCAATAAGGAATTTTCTGACCTTCCCATCTACAAAGCTACATTAACCTTTATTGACTTGTTTTTATAGATAAATATAGTCAAATATTTGTCCATGTTAAAGATGATACATATGTGGAAATGGATGGTTTTTAAGGTTGTACCAATTGTAACAATAGCCACCGGTTATTGAGCACTTATGCCATAGGGGCTATTATAAGGTCTTGCCTTGTTATTTGCAAGAACAATGAGTTATATACAATTATTGTACTTTTACAAATGAGAGAATGAGATTGCAGAGAGATTAAGAAAATCTTGCAAAACTTGCAAGTGACAGAACAGAGATGAAAACTTATGCAGTGACTCAAAATTTCTTACTTTCACTTACTCCAGTTAATTGCATCTCAACATGACATGTGCATTTTTTCTCCTACAAAATATTTTCCTCTTTTGTTAAAAAAATAAGGCCACATGTTTTTATGATATCTAGGATTCTGCTACAATATATATGCCACAAAGAAAGATACTGAGTCAGTGAAATTATTTAGATAATTTATCCACATACATTTGTAAAAGAAGCATGTGCTTCCCTGTTTTCTTCATGTTTGTGTGGGTATGCATGTTTATTTAAGGTAACACATGTGCAATTTAATGAAGAGCATACATTCAATAATGTAAGGAAATTATAGTAGTTTTGCTTTCCAGCATAGCAACAAGATATAAATAGATACTAATAGTAAAATTAGGTTAATTGCTGAAGAAAGTATAATTCTTAATAAGGTTGCATCATGTAAATGTTTGCACATGTAAAAGTCTGATATACGTGGACTTTGCTGCACCCTCACGCAAAATTGTCGGCTCTGCCACTCCTCGTGTGTGACTTCAGGCAATTTTCTTCCCTTTTCTAAGCCTCAATTTCATTGACTACAAACTGAGACTAATAATTTGTTATTTATGGTAAAGAATCAGATAAGGTAATGTATGAAAGAACTTTGAAAACTGGAAAGCACAATACTCTCTTTAGGTATTTAATAATTCTTGTAGTTAATAATCATTTCACTATAAAAATGTACTCAAGGAAAAAAATTTAAATAAATAAAACTATATAAAATAAAAAAAGTAGCCAATATGTATTTAGGTTTCTTAGGATCTTTGAGACAATTACTTTTTAAATAAACTTTGTATTTTAGAATAGTTTTGGATTTATAGAAAAATATCAATAATAAACAATCTCCCCTTGGCCCACACCCAGTTTCCCATATTATTAACACATTATTATATACACTTGTCACAACTGATGAATGAATATTGATATTGTTATTAACAAAAGTGCATACTTCTTTCTTATTTCCATAGCTTTAAAAGTTTTTTTGTGTTTATTTATTCTTGAGAGAGAAAGAGAGAGAGAGAGAGAGGGCTGTCAGCACAGAAACCAACACAGGGCTTGAACTCACAAACCACAAGATCATGACCTGAGTCGAAGTTGGACACTTAACTAACTGAGCTACCAGGAGTTCCTCATATTTTCATCATTTTCACTTCACATCCTTTTCCTGTTCTAGGATCTCATCAAAGACTTCATCTTACACATAGCCATCAATTTTCCTTCGGCTCCTTTGGGCTGTGACAGTTTCTCAGACTTTCCATGTTTTTGATAAGCTTGACAGTTTTGAGGACTTCTGGACAGATATATTTTCAGGTATTTTGTAGGATACCCTTCTCCTGTAGTTTATCTGATACCTTTCTCATGATTAGATTGGAGTTACGGGGTTTTTCTGAGGAAGATCACAAAGGTTAACTGCCATTTTCATCACATTGTTACAAGAGTACATATGTTGGCCTCGATCATCTGATTGAGTTAGAGTTTGTCAGATTTTTGCACTGTGAAATGTCTTTTCCCCCTCTTTTCCATACTATACTTTTTAGAAGATTGTTAGTATGTGCAACCCACACTTAAGGAGAGATAGGTACATTATTGGATATTTCTGCATAAAAAATTCGTATATTCTCCACATTTTATTTATTTGATCATTATAAATGTCATTATAGGTTATAAACCAAAACAACAATATTTGGTTTTTTGTACTCAAATTGTTTCCAAGTGACCATTGGGAGTTCTTTCAGATGACTGCTATATCTTTTTGATATACCTCCATTATTGTATTGTCATTGTTGTTTTTTATTGTTGTTTTCATCACATCTCTACCTTCTGGCACTGTAAGATGCTTCAGGCTCATCGTGTATATTTCCTGCCCCGGCCATAGAGGTTTTCTCTAAGAAACACTCATTCTTGTATGAGACAATGGTATTAGAAACCAAGATCTGAGTGCTAGGTATGAATGTTCCTTCTGAGGTGTTTTTTCTAGCCCTTCTCAGCTGACAGAGTAAGGAAATATATGTGTGAATACTAACCTATGTACATATATGTATCTATTTTTCTAAATGTAACCATCTGCATGCGTATTAAGCTAAGCATGAATTCAGATAATTAGTCTTCACCAAATTAATTACCACATGCATCATTCTAGCCTCCTCTCCTTGGCTATTTATAACCTTCCACTGTAAGAGTGAGAAACCTTACTTCCACCATCTGCCATTTATTTATTTAAATGTTCAGTTCCAGTATATATGCAAAGCTCTATTAGAACTATTACCCAGCACTTCCTTGGGGTGGAAAACAAACCTTCAACAAAAACATAATAATGTTGCCATCTACCTCTTTAATGACATTGTTTCATACATTTGTAGTAAAGCTAGATTTCTTTGTCATAGTCTACATTCCACTTTGTTATTCTATGATATCATATAGCCACCATTATAGTATCATATTGTAAAATTCTTAAAAGAATTCTCTCTGCCTCATGTATTCAAACCACTGGCCCATCCCCTGAATCTCTGGCAAATACTAATCGGTTTACTGTCTCTATAGTTTTGTCTTTTTAGAATGTCATGTAATGGGAATTGTACAGTATGTAGCCTATTAAGACTGACTTCTTTCACATAACAATATACATGTATCCTTCATCCACATCTTTAATTGGCTTAATGACTCGCTCCTTTTTTGTGGCTGAATAATATTCCATTATATAGATGTACTAGAGTTTATCCAATCATCAATCAAAGGGCATCTTTGTTGCTTCTAGTTTGGGCTAATTATGAATAATGCTGCTGCAAACATTTGTTTTCTGTGTGGACATAAGTTTTCAACCACATTTGGGTAAATACCAGGAGTGCAATTGATAGATCATACAGTGAGACTATTGTACGAAACTGCCAAAAACTGTCTGCAAGAATGGCTGTAAGATTTTACATTCCTTCCAGAAAGGAATAAAAGTTCTTTGTTGCTCTAAATCCTCACCAGTAGTTTTTTGGGTTTTACGCATTCTAATAGGGGTATAGTAGCAACTCATTGTTGATTAAATTTGCATTCCTCCAAGGACAAACGATATTGAACATCTTTTCATATGCTTATTTGCCATTTGTATGTCTCTTTTGATGAATTGTCTATACATATCTTTTTCCCAATTTTTGTCTATGTTTTTACTGTTGAGTTTTAAGAGTTCTTTGTATATTTTGAATAGATGTCCTTCATCACATCTTATTTGGCAGCTAAGTTCTCCCAGTCTGTAGCTTGTTTCTTCATTCTGTTAATAGAGTCTTTCTTAGGGTAGAAGTTTTAAATTTTTCATTAAGTCTAATCTACCAATTTTTTTTCTTTCATAGGTTGTGTTTTTTGCGTGTGTTGCAGCTAAAAATTCACCACCAAACTTAAGATCACATACATCCTCTCTTTTTTCTTTTTTTTGCTGAAGTTTTATACTATTTTACATTTAGATGCATGACCCAGTTAGAGTTAATTATTGTGAAAGGTGTAAAGTCTAGGTCTAGGTTCATTTTTTCCCCTGCATATGGATGTCCAATTCTAGCACCATTTGCTGAAAAGCAAATTCCTTTTCCACTGAAATATCTTCACAACTTTACCAAAGATCATTTGAGACACAATTATTTAATGTTTGTAGTTGGTTGTTTAAAAGATGGTGCTCATGAGATCAATATTGAAGTTAAGTCTTAGATAAAGCAATTTAGATTCATACAAACAAAATGTTTTGAATATATGTGCCTCTGTATGCTGGGAGTTTTCTAGTCTTCTAATTCTGCCTGATTTGCAGCTGTACATTCTTGCATACAAAGAGAAAACATTGTAAGTAGTTTATTCAGGTAAAACCCAGCATCACAAAGTATATACTGTGGAAACAGTGGGTTTTTATTGCCTTGTGGGTATAAATCAAAATAAAACAAAAATACCCAGGGGATAGGTAAGTATGTGTTGAATTAGCAGCCAAATAAATGTTGAATACTCTGGAAGTCAGTTGTTCTTCCCCAGTATGCAGCAGAACTGCAGGCTACTTTTGCTACTGCAGCACATCATCCTGGCTCCTGGAGCTAGGGGGAGGGGTGCCATGAAAAACCGAAGGAAAAAAATATATAAATATATATAATCTGCTGCATTATTATCCCAGTGCTTCTCAGCTCCCACCAGTGAGGAGTCAGCCTCTTGCCCTAAACTTTATGGCTATGGCAACTTATACTACCACCACACCCCACCAATGGATGAAATTGTTTCTGACCATCATCTGGTATGTTTTTTCCTCCTAATAAAAATAAATAAATGAATGAATAAACAAATAAATAAAACATGCCTTGGAATTCTTGCAGCAATAAAAAAATTTAGACCACAAATGCCTAAACAAAACAACAAAAACCGTGTCCACATTCATTTTGCAAGATAAGTCACTTCTATTTAAAAGCAAATAAAAATAGCACCAGCCCCAGCTCTGTCCTGCCCCATAGCTTTGAAATACATTGAATAATAAAAGAGGTTATGATGATGTTTATCTCTGAAAGTGCTGCATCTCTTCCTTGAATACACAATTAACACAAAGGTAATAGGTACATCCATAACGGTGAGTTCATAAAACCCACTTTGGAGTTCAAGTCAATGTCAACAAATTTCTCTCCTGTGAGATGTGCTCCTTTAGAATTTTGTTGGCTTGTCAGCTGTTTCATTAATATTTTATAACAGAAAGTAAATGTCTTGAGATTCCAGAATCATCACAATCTGCCCCAGCTCCATGCAATTGGTTATTATAATGTCATCAAAATCCTTTGATATATGTATAGAAGCCTCTTTATAGGGAATAGTTTCTATTCTCAGTTTATACATATGCAGAGTGAGAAAACCTATAAAATTCAACTTCAATGCAATTGAAGGTTTAGAATACTGTTCTGGAAATCTGTGTACATTTTGTCTTCTGGATGGTTCCCGTGGCAAAAGGTATTCAGCACCTTTTTCAGGCAACTTGAAGCCTCTTGAGTTTTCATCTTTTTTATCTGGCCTCCTGTTTACAAATTGATAAAGAAAATATTAAAATGGAATAAATAGAAATAGCAGCTGTAGAATGTATTCTGCCAAGAATAAATCCTCTGTTAAAATCGGTAATGTATTAGAATTTTATAGGGAAAAATACTTTTTATGATATTTCTTAGTGTAGAACCCACTCTAGCTGTAGTTGAAACTTAATATTGTCTATGTATATAGAGAAATATAGATTAAAGTGAGAGATTTAGGGAAATATTAGAGAAATTTCCTTTCAAACACATGTCTTCATATAGCAGGAGTCCAGTAATTACTTATGGAACAGCAGCAATATTTAGGAGACAAATTACTATTAAAACTTAGTTTTTTCATACTAGATATATGCATAAAGAGCTTTAGTCTTCATCTTTTTTAACTTAAAAGTGTTTGAACAAAGCTAAAGGCTGAAAGAATGAATACACATATATTGTCCACCTAGGTTCAATAATTAAAATTAACATATTGTTACTTTTGCACTTGCTCTATGTGTATGTGTTTGTCACTTTATATGTACATAGCTTTTGCTATGAATTTGTGAGTTTGTGATGAGGAAACTGTCTTGTCTCCTGTATATACTGGTGTGGAGTCTTAGTGTACAATTAGCTTCAGGGAAGACCCAGTGGGCACCTATAGGGTCAAATTCAGGAGTCTTGCAATACATTTTGCTAAGCATATGTCCCAGAGTTAAAAAAATCCACTATATGTGCCACTATACCACTATATACAATGTTTATATAATAGCAAATCTATGTACTACTAAACATACAAAAATTACAAAATTAAAATAAATATCTAAAGAGTAAATAAATATATAAAAAATAAAGATTAAATAAAAAATTTAGAGCACAAATACCTGAACAAAGAAACAATTTATTATTTTATTTTTAATTTAATGATACCAAATATTTTTGCTGTCATCAAATATCAAAAAATATTAGTTTGTATTGAGAGCGCCATAATTAAGAATGTTATATTATTTTTAACAAAATAATTTAATTCTAAGTTAACTTATTAATTAACGAATCGAATCAGAAATAAAGATTGATTAGTTCTAAATTAGGTTTACTTCAAGCCCTACTTTTAATGGCTGTAGAACTAAAAAAAGTACTTTACAAAAATGCATAAAACTAATCGAAGAAAGATTTCATTTGCTGCCTTTACTAAATCATGATATGATACACATTTTTCAACTACATTCACCAATAATGAAAAGGTTTTTGCTTAAATCTACCTGACATTTTCATGTTCTTTATGCCAATTAGTTGCATTAGCAAACTAATTGGAAGATGTTAGATTTTAATCATTTTAGTAAAGTAGTTAAAAATAAATGCCTAAAACTTTTCATTTGGAAGATTAACAGGTTAGAAAATTCTGTTTCCAAGCTTCGTTTTGTTTTTAATTTGACTAGATATGCACAACTTTTCCTTAGAATTGAGGTGTTTAATATTATTCTAGCAAAAAATTCACTTAATGAAAATATTTTCAAATATTTATTTTCAACATTCTCTTTTATTCTTTGAGATTCTTTTGAAAAACAGCTATTTTCTCAATTATTGTTAAAATAGTATTTCTCCCTTAGAGCAATAACTAAGTATGTACAATTTTTATTTTTTAATTTCTGTAAATAGCATACTTAAACTTTTTTTAAAATTTATTTATTTTTGAGATAGAGAAAGAGAGAGAATGAGAACACACAAGTGGGGGGAAAACAGAGAGAGAGAGGGAGACACAGAATCCGAAGCAGGCTCCAGGTTCTGAGCTGTCAGCACAGAGCCTGATGTGGGCCTTGAACTTACTAACTGTGAGATCATGACTTGAGCAGAAGTCGGTTGCTCAACCAACTGAGCCACCCAGGCTCCCCTATAGATAGCATACTTTTCACAGCCATGTATTATCATATAAAAGATCTGCAAAATTGAAATATATTTTTGTTAAAGAAGGAAATATGTAGCTCATGTTTAAGCTCAGTGACTCTTCTAAGTACTTCTTTATGGATTATCACTTGGAAAATCTTCCTGTATGGTATCGTGGTTAGTTCTGATATCTTTATAAGGTGTTACAAAGATTCTACTCATGCTTTCAGTCCATTACTTCACAGTACACCAAAGAACTTCAAACCAAGTCAATGATTTAGAGGGCCCCTATCAGGCCCTTCATGTCATATCACTATTTTTCCTCTTTCCCTTCATTCTTTTCATGACATACATCAGCATCACTCTATGTATTAAAACATAGGTAAATGTATATTTTATTCATTTTCTTTCTTTTATCAGATAAAAAGTTAAGAATAAGAGCAACCTAATATTTGTTTCCATCTCCTCAGTACCATGGTCTTAGAGATTCCCTGGGACATGTGCATCCTTTTGTGAAGACCGTAGGTATAAAGGATATTTCAAACTTGGCTGTGATTCAGGCAATCTTTAGTATCAGGAGGTACAATATGTCTTGAAGAACATCTATTTCATGAAGTCTTACCTTGGATCATGGCTCTAGAAGGCATCTCTCAAGGAGATCTGCCAGGTGTAACTCAGCAGATCTAGCCCTTTGGAAAGAAGGTTGGCAATAAAGAGCATGATAATAATTCAAAGAAAGTGTCATTTATGCTGTAACAGAGTATTGCACCATGCAGCTTACAGATTAAAAATCAAGAAGAGAACAATCAGATAGAGCATGTAGAAAACAGAAACCAAGTCTGCCTGAAGGGCTTGCCCTGGCCTACGTGAGCTAAAGCTCACAATGGAGAAGTCTAATGGGAGAAGAGTGAGAAGGACTAATGTAACACAGTAGCCACGGTGAGCCATTAAATCCCACATATGAGTTTGACTATTCCAAGATGCACTGGGTGTTGTAATAAAGACTATGCTATGTACTTTTTTCCTCAGTCAGTACTGGCTCCAAATTTTAAGGAGATTGCTTCTATAGCACTTGTGAGAAAGAGCCAAGAAAGAGACTGATTACAATGTAGAAGAAAAATACTAATATTCCATAAGCTATTATTTAAAATATTTGTGAAGCCATTGAAAGGTAGTATAGTGAAACTCAGCCTAACTTCACATTTAGTGTAGTTGTCAAGTTACTTTATGTGCTTATCTTTATATATTGGATTATGATTTCCTATAGACTGTCACAGGGACTACTGAATAAAAAGAACTTCAGATTCCAACCTGGGTTTGGAACCAAATCCTGCCATATACACCTGGGTGAACTAAGGAAGTTGTATAGCCATTGTGAGTTTCCGTTTCCTTTAATCCTTATCTCACAGTTTTTTTCTGGAGATTAAATAATTTTTAAAGTTCTTAACACAGTGTTTGGCATATACTAAGTGCTTAATAACTGGTAGCTACACTGATTGTTACTTTTAAGATCTCAATATTCAGTAAGTAAAAGATTAAGTATATCTAATTTCAAATGTTCATATTTTTAAACTATCTAGGCTTAGAATGAACTGATTTATAAAATAAAGAGGGTAGTTATGGGGGCTACAGATTCAGGGAAGATACAAAAGATAAATGTATACTTTTCCCCATTCCTCTCGCAAACTACAGCTAAACACTCTGGGCATTACATATAAACGAACATAAGAAGATTCTGAAAGGTAGAAAGAAGGAGGAAGATTGGTGAGAAAGTTTGGTATCCAAATTCCAAAGCAATGAATTCCTTCATTTTGATTTTTGCCTCATATATTCTAAACAGGGTATTGGAGAAGTAAACTATCCAGAATCACCAAAGGGAATGGAGAAAAAAGAAAGAAAGAACAAACAACAAAACAAAACAACAATCACAAAACCATCAAGGCCAAGAGAGGGCCAAACTAGGCCAGGAAAGGGACAATCTAATAAGACAGAATACTTTAAGAGAATTACTGTGCTATTCTATCCAAACACCCCAAGAGAAAAGCTGTGGGTGCATCACTAACCATGCTAGCAAATGCGACATGGGGAGTCTATACTTACTCTTACCTAATTATAATGAAGTGCCCCCCAACCCCTTTGTCTCTTATCTCCCCCGTCTCAAGATAAGGGTGTGTCAGAAAGCTGAGTGGGAATCTGGGACTTTCATTCATTACAAGTATTAAAGACTTTCCCTACTTCTGCAATATCAGTAAAAACCACAGAGGGAGCCCAGACCTCCCCCTCACCCCCCAGGCAACTGGTGGTCACAAGTTACTCTTTTCCTTACCTGTTGAGATAGTGTCAGAAGAGGCCTAAGGGACAGCCAGGGCTTTCACCAGGGCTCAGAATTAACAGCCACACCTTCACTGCAGAGGCTATATGGAGAGCCTGGACTCTCATTCTGTCCAACAGTAATAAGGAAATCCTTCCCTCCACCAGGTGTTAAAGGAGGCTGAGTGAAGAATCTAGACCTTCCAGTATCATGTTGCAGTAAAGAGGCAGAGTCTTCCTTTCTCCAACAGGGCAAGTGTCAGAGGAGACCTGATAAAACACTAGATTAAAATACTTTTTGGAGTACCTGGGTGAGTCAGTTGGTTAAGTGTCCAGCTGCTGCTTGGGTCATGATCTCATGTTTTACGGGTTTTAGCCCCACATCAGGCTCTGTGCTGATAGCTGAGTCTGGAGCCTATTTCAGATTCTATGTCTCTCTCTCTCTCTGCTCCTACCCTGCTCACACTCTGTCTCTCTCTCTCTCTCTCAAAAAAAAAAAAAAACATTAAAAATTAATTTAAAAAGATTCAAATGATTTTTGAGTCTTACAATACCCAAAACATTCAGTTATCCATCAAAAATCACTCATACCAAGACTCAAGACATCTCAAGTTGAATAAGTAAGTGTAATTAATAGATACCAATGTTGAGATGAAACAGATGTCAAGAATATTTAGCAAAGAATTTAAATCAGTCATCATAAAAATGCTTCAAAGAACAATTTTAAGAACACTTTGAACAAATGGAAAAATAGACTCAGCAAGAAATAGGAAATATAAATAAGAACAAAATGGAAGTGTTAGATCAAAAACAAATAACT